CACAGACAACAAAAAAGACAACCAAGATTTCGATGAACACTCCAGAAACATGTTATTAGAAGAATATTTTTCATCGAATAATCCTCCGGAATTAGAAGGTCCGCTCTATTTGAAAGCAGACTCGAAAAAGGGATGGAAAAAGCATCATTTTGTGTTAAGAGCATCTGGGTTATATTATTATCCTAAAGATAAAGTTAAGTCTGCTAAAGATCTTGTATGTCTCGCCACTTTCGATAACAATCATTTATACTACGGATTAGGATGGAGGAAAAAATACAAAGCTCCTACTGATTTCTGTCTAGCGATCAAACATCCCAGATTGCAAGAACCTAAATCTACGAAATATATTAAATACTTGTGTGCCGAAGATCAAAGTACTTTGGAACGATGGATGGTCGGTATGAGAATAGCAAAATTCGGAAAGCAGCTTATGGATAATTATAGAAGTTTGATTGATGAGCTGGCTCAGGAGGATTTGGATATTTTAGCGCATGCTAGAAGTTGTTCTGTTAGTTCGATTGCTGTTCAATCTTTTCCATCTAATGTTACGACGCCTACACAAGGGTAAGTGAAAGTTTACAATTTCTACCTTTTTTTTTATTTAAAATAAAAAAGTATATCAAAAGAAATAATTTTTTATTTCTACATACTTTTTTTTTGGAGTAACTAAAATTGTTTTTTTTCAAATATGACGTTTTATTACTGTTGTGATAACGTAAATTTAATGAGAATCTAACCCAAGGTTTTATTTAAAAAAAAAAACCACTAAGCATATGAAAAGAAATAATTTTTTATTTCTACATACTTTTTTTTAACAAAATGTTCTTTTCAAATATGACGTTTTATTACTGTTGTGATAACGTAAGTTTAATATGAGAATCTAGCCCAAGGTTTTATTTAAATTAATAATATTTTTTTATTTCTACATACTTTTTTTATTTCTACATACTTTTTTTTTGGAGTAACTAAAATTGTTTTTTCTTTTTCAAATATGACGGTTTATTCCTGTTGTGATAACGTAAATTTAATGAGAATCTTGCCCAAGGTTTTATTTAAAGAAAAAAACCACTAAGCATATCAAAAGAAATAATTTTTTATTTCTACATACTTTTTTTAACAAAATGTTCTTTTCAAATATGACATTTTATTACTGTTGTGATAACGTAAGTTTAATATGAGAATCTAGGTTTTGTTTAAAATAAAAAACCACTGAGTATATCAAAAGAAATATTTTTTTTTATTTCTACATACTTTTTTTATTTCTACATATTTTTTTGGCGAAACTAAAAATGTTTTTCTTCAAATATGACGTTTTATTACTGTAGTGATAACGTTACTTTAATATGAGAATCTAGCCCGATTTTCCTTAGTAAAAAGTTGATAGTTTCCAAATTATAAGGTGTCAAAATTATATTTTTTTGTCTGTATTTAATTTTATATTTCTTTTGCATTTGGTTTAATTATATTGCACTTTTACCTTTCTTTTTATTTACTATTTTAATTTGCCCTATATCCTCTTGAATCTATTTTAACTTCATTTTCAAATCACTTTTTTTATTATTATTTACAGTTTTATTATTTCTTTCATCCTTTTGTGCCTTTTTAATTTTATTCTAATTTTCTCGTTTTTTTTATAGAATCGTTATTTAGGTTTTTCTCTATAATCTTTTATCATCTTGTCTTCTGTCTTTCCCTGTAATTTTTTCTCACTTTCTTTCTTAATTCTTCAATTTTCGTTTTTCTTTTTTTCATACTTATTTCCTTTTTTATAGTTTTAATTTGTCTTTCTTCATTAACTTCTTTTTTTTCAATTTCTAAACACTCTCTTTTGTATTGTATGTTTTTTTTATTTATTTCTATAATTTCATATATCTTCTTTTTTATCCTTCTTTTCCACTTTCTTCCAATTAATACAGTTTATTTATTTTCTGCTATATATCTTTCTTTATTTCTTCCCTATCCTCCTTTCTATTTTCATCCAGTTTATTACTATTTTTATTCATTTCTCCTTTCATTTGTCTCATATTCTCATCATTTATTTCTATCAACATCCTCACTATTAGTTCATTTTTCTCTTTCTGTCTCTCATATGCAGTTCTACCTTTTTCTTCTATTATTGTGTTTCCTTCTGTTATTTGTCTCCTATTACGATTGCTGCTGGTCCATTCTCTTTTATGTCCTCATCTTCTTCTTCCCTTTTTTGAACTTTCTTATAACTTTATATTATTACGTTCTTTATCTACTTTAAACGTTCAGCTATCACCTTTATCTGATAATACTTCAGTTATGTTTTTTCTTCACTATATTATTTTGTGCTATTTAATTATATTCGTTTTTTTTTAAATAGGTATCAAAGTAGTGAAGCTGGTTATGGAACTCAAAGTGAAACTTACTCAACTTCAACCGATATGAGTTCTGGACGACACAGTAGAGCTAGCAGTTCGAGTTCAAGTGGTTGTATGTCCGATGGTGCTCCTTCTAGTTGTGAAAATGCTTTTGATTCTGAATTCCCCATGGGTAAGTAAATTTATTGGAGTCATACAAAAATGGAAAGAAATAAATAAATAAATGAAAATAAATAAATAAATGAAAATAAATGAAAATAAATGAAAATAAATGAAAATAAATGAAAATAAATGAAAATAAATGAAAATAAATGAAAATAAATGAAAATAAATGAAAATAAATGAAAATAAATGAAAATAAATGAAAATAAATGAAAATAAATGAAAATAAATGAAAATAAATGAAAATAAATGAAAATAAATGAAAATAAATGAAAATAAATGAAAATAAATGAAAATAAATGAAAATAAATGAAAATAAATGAAAATAAATGAAAATAAATGAAAATAAATGAAAATAAATGAAAATAAATGAAAATAAATGAAAATAAATGAAAATAAATGAAAATAAATGAAAATAAATGAAAATAAATGAAAATAAATGAAAATAAATGAAAATAAATGAAAATAAATGAAAATAAATGAAAATAAATGAAAATAAATGAAAATAAATGAAAATAAATGAAAATAAATGAAAATAAATGAAAATAAATGAAAATAAATGAAAATAAATGAAAATAAATGAAAATAAATAAAAATAAATGAAAATAAATGAAAATAAATGAAAATAAATGAAAATAAATGAAAATAAATGAAAATAAATGAAAATAAATGAAAATAAATGAAAATAAATGAAAATAAACGAAAATAAATGAAAATAAATGAAAATAAATGAAAATAAACGAAAATAAACGAAAATAAATGAAACTAAATGAAAATAAATGAAAATAAATGAAACTAAATGAAACTAAATGAAAATAAACGAAAATAAATGAAAATAAATGAAAATAAATGAAAATAAATGAAAATAAATGAACATAAATGAACACAAATAAAAATAAATTAACATAAATGAACATAAAAATAAATTTAAAAAAAATTCAAATGAATTCTAAAAAAAAAATTAAATAAATTCTAATAAATTCTAATAAATTCTAATAAATTCTAATAAATTCTAATAAATTCTAATAAATTCTAATAAATTCTAATAAATTCTAATAAATTCTAATAAATTCTAATAAATTCTAATAAATTCTAATAAATTCTAATAAATTCTAATAAATTCTAATAAATTCTAATAAATTCTAATAAATTCTAATAAATTCTAATAAATTAATTCTAATAAATTCTAATAAATTCTAATAAATTCTAATAAATTCTAATAAATTCTAATAAATTCTAATAAATTCTAATAAATTCTAATAAATTCTAATAAATTCTAATAAATTCTAATAAATTCTAATAAATTCTAATAAATTCTAATAAATTCTAATAAATTCTAATAAATTCTAATAAATTCTAATAAATTCTAATAAATTCTAATAAATTCTAATAAATTCTAATAAATTCTAATAAATTCTAATAAATTCCAATAAATTCCAATAAATTCCAATAAATTCCAATAAATTCTAATAAATTCTAATAAATTCTAATAAATTCTAATAAATTCTAATAAATTCTAATAAATTCTAATAAATTCTAATAAATTCTAATAAATTCTAATAAATTCTAATAAATTCTAATAAATTCTAATAAATTCTAATAAATTCTAATAAATTCTAATAAATTCTAATAAATTCTAATAAATTCTAATAAATTCTAATAAATTCTAATAAATTCTAATAAATTCTAATAAATTCTAATAAATTCTAATAAATTCTAATAAATTCTAATAAATTCTAATAAATTCTAATAAATTCTAATAAATTCTAATAAATTCTAATAAATTCTAATAAATTCTAATAAATTCTAATAAATTCTAATAAATTCTAATAAATTCTAATAAATTCTAATAAATTCTAATAAATTCTAATAAATTCTAATAAATTCTAATAAATTCTAATAAATTCTAATAAATTCTAATAAATTCTAATAAATTCTAATAAATTCTAATAAATTCTAATAAATTCTAATAAATTCTAATAAATTCTAATAAATTCTAATAAATTCTAATAAATTCTAATAAATTCTAATAAATTCTAATAAATTCTAATAAATTCTAATAAATTCTAATAAATTCTAATAAATTCTAATAAATTCTAATAAATTCTAATAAATTCTAATAAATTCTAATAAATTCTAATAAATTCTAATAAATTCTAATAAATTCTAATAAATTCTAATAAATTCTAATAAATTCTAATAAATTCTAATAAATTCTAATAAATTCTAATAAATTCTAATAAATTCTAATAAATTCTAATAAATTCTAATAAATTCTAATAAATTCTAATAAATTCTAATAAATTCTAATAAATTCTAATAAATTCTAATAAATTCTAATAAATTCTAATAAATTCTAATAAATTCTAATAAATTCTAATAAATTCTAATAAATTCTAATAAATTCTAATAAATTCTAATAAATTCTAATAAATTCTAATAAATTCTAATAAATTCTAATAAATTCTAATAAATTCTAATAAATTCTAATAAATTCTAATAAATTCTAATAAATTCTAATAAATTCTAATAAATTCTAATAAATTCTAATAAATTCTAATAAATTCTAATAAATTCTAATAAATTCTAATAAATTCTAATAAATTCTAATAAATTCTAATAAATTCTAATAAATTCTAATAAATTCTAATAAATTCTAATAAATTCTAATAAATTCTAATAAATTCTAATAAATTCTAATAAATTCTAATAAATTCTAATAAATTCTAATAAATTCTAATAAATTCTAATAAATTCTAATAAATTCTAATAAATTCTAATAATTCTAATAAATTCTAATAAATTCTAATAAATTCTAATAAATTCTAATAAATTCTAATAAATTCTAATAAATTCTAATAAATTCTAATAAATTCTAATAAATTCTAATAAATTCTAATAAATTCTAATAAATTCTAATAAATTCTAATAAATTCTAATAAATTCTAATAAATTCTAATAAATTCTAATAAATTCTAATAAATTCTAATAAATTCTAATAAATTCTAATAATTCTAATAAATTCTAATAAATTCTAATAAATTCTAATAAATTCTAATAAATTCTAATAAATTCTAATAAATTCTAATAAATTCTAATAAATTCTAATAAATTCTAATAAATTCTAATAAATTCTAATAAATTCTAATAAATTCTAATAAATTCTAATAAATTCTAATAAATTCTAATAAATTCTAATAAATTCTAATAAATTCTAATAAATTCTAATAAATTCTAATAAATTCTAATAAATTCTAATAAATTCTAATAAATTCTAATAAATTCTAATAAATTCTAATAAATTCTAATAAATTCTAATAAATTCTAATAAATTCTAATAAATTCTAATAAATTCTAATAAATTCTAATAAATTCTAATAAATTCTAATAAATTCTAATAAATTCTAATAAATTCTAATAAATTCTAATAAATTCTAATAAATTCTAATAAATTCTAATAAATTCTAATAAATTCTAATAAATTCTAATAAATTCTAATAAATTCTAATAAATTCTAATAAATTCTAATAAATTCTAATAAATTCTAATAAATTCTAATAAATTCTAATAAATTCTAATAAATTCTAATAAATTCTAATAAATTCTAATAAATTCTAATAAATTCTAATAAATTCTAATAAATTCTAATAAATTCTAATAAATTCTAATAAATTCTAATAAATTCTAATAAATTCTAATAAATTCTAATAAATTCTAATAAATTCTAATAAATTCTAATAAATTCTAATAAATTCTAATAAATTCTAATAAATTCTAATAAATTCTAATAAATTCTAATAAATTCTAATAAATTCTAATAAATTCTAATAAATTCTAATAAATTCTAATAAATTCTAATAAATTCTAATAAATTCTAATAAATTCTAATAAATTCTAATAAATTCTAACAAATTCTAACAAATTCTAATAAATTCTAATAAATTCTAATAAATTCTAATAAATTCTAATAAATTCTAATAAATTCCAATAAATTCCAATAAATTCTAATAAATTCTAATAAATTCTAATAAATTCTAATAAATTCTAATAAATTCTAATAAATTCTAATAAATTCTAATAAATTCTAATAAATTCTAATAAATTCTAATAAATTCTAATAAATTCTAATAAATTCTAATAAATTCTAATAAATTCTAATAAATTCTAATAAATTCTAATAAATTCTAATAAATTCTAATAAATTCTAATAAATTCCAATAAATTCCAATAAATTCCAATAAATTCCAATAAATTCCAATAAATTCCAATAAATTCCAATAAATTCTAATAAATTCTAATAAATTCTAATAAATTCTAATAAATTCTAATAAATTCTAATAAATTCTAATAAATTCTAATAAATTCTAATAAATTCTAATAAATTCTAATAAATTCTAATAAATTCTAATAAATTCTAATAAATTCTAATAAATTCTAATAAATTCTAATAAATTCTAATAAATTCTAATAAATTCTAATAAATTCTAATAAATTCTAATAAATTCTAATAAATTCCAATAAATTCTAATAAATTCTAATAAATTCTAATAAATTCTAATAAATTCTAATAAATTCTAATAAATTCTAATAAATTCTAATAAATTCTAATAAATTCTAATAAATTCTAATAAATTCTAATAAATTCTAATAAATTCTAATAAATTCTAATAAATTCTAATAAATTCTAATAAATTCTAATAAATTCTAATAAATTCTAATAAATTCTAATAAATTCTAATAAATTCTAATAAATTCTAATAAATTCTAATAAATTCTAATAAATTCTAATAAATTCTAATAAATTCTAATAAATTCTAATAAATTCTAATAAATTCTAATAAATTCTAATAAATTCTAATAAATTCTAATAAATTCTAATAAATTCTAATAAATTCTAATAAATTCTAATAAATTCTAATAAATTCTAATAAATTCCAATAAATTCCAATAAATTCCAATAAATTCCAATAAATTCCAATAAATTCCAATAAATTCCAATAAATTCCAATAAATTCTAATAAATTCTAATAAATTCTAATAAATTCTAATAAATTCTAATAAATTCTAATAAATTCTAATAAATTCTAATAAATTCTAATAAATTCTAATAAATTCTAATAAATTCTAATAAATTCTAATAAATTCTAATAAATTCTAATAAATTCTAATAAATTCTAATAAATTCTAATAAATTCTAATAAATTCTAATAAATTCTAATAAATTCTAATAAATTCTAATAAATTCTAATAAATTCTAATAAATTCTAATAAATTCTAATAAATTCTAATAAATTCTAATAAATTCTAATAAATTCTAATAAATTCTAATAAATTCTAATAAATTCTAATAAATTCTAATAAATTCTAATAAATTCTAATAAATTCTAATAAATTCTAATAAATTCTAATAAATTCTAATAAATTCTAATAAATTCTAATAAATTCTAATAAATTCTAATAAATTCTAATAAATTCTAATAAATTCTAATAAATTCTAATAAATTCTAATAAATTCTAATAAATTCTAATAAATTCTAATAAATTCTAATAAATTCTAATAAATTCTAATAAATTCTAATAAATTCTAATAAATTCTAATAAATTCTAATAAATTCTAATAAATTCTAATAAATTCTAATAAATTCTAATAAATTCTAATAAATTCTAATAAATTCTAATAAATTCTAATAAATTCTAATAAATTCTAATAAATTCTAATAAATTCTAATAAATTCTAATAAATTCTAATAAATTCTAATAAATTCTAATAAATTCTAATAAATTCTAATAAATTCTAATAAATTCTAATAAATTCTAATAAATTCTAATAAATTCTAATAAATTCTAATAAATTCTAATAAATTCTAATAAATTCTAATAAATTCTAATAAATTCTAATAAATTCTAATAAATTCTAATAAATTCTAATAAATTCTAATAAATTCTAATAAATTCTAATAAATTCTAATAAATTCTAATAAATTCTAATAAATTCTAATAAATTCTAATAAAATCTAATAAATTCCAATAAATTCCAATAAATTCCAATAAATTCCAATAAATTCCAATAAATTCCAATAAATTCCAATAAATTCTAATAAATTCTAATAAATTCTAATAAATTCTAATAAATTCTAATAAATTCTAATAAATTCTAATAAATTCTAATAAATTCTAATAAATTCTAATAAATTCTAATAAATTCTAATAAATTCTAATAAATTCTAATAAATTCTAATAAATTCTAATAAATTCTAATAAATTCTAATAAATTCTAATAAATTCTAATAAATTCTAATAAATTCTAATAAATTCTAATAAATTCTAATAAATTCTAATAAATTCTAATAAATTCTAATAAATTCTAATAAATTCTAATAAATTCTAATAAATTCTAATAAATTCTAATAAATTCTAATAAATTCTAATAAATTCTAATAAATTCTAATAAATTCTAATAAATTCTAATAAATTCTAATAAATTCTAATAAATTCTAATAAATTCTAATAAATTCTAATAAATTCTAATAAATTCTAATAAATTCTAATAAATTCTAATAAATTATAATAAATTGTAAAAAAAAAGTAAAAAAAAAATGTAAAAAATTGTAAAAATTGTAAAAAATTCTAAAAATTCCTAGAAATTCCTAAAAAAAAACCATAAAAAATTTAATATTTTTTTTATTTTCAGTTTTTTTAATTAAGCAGGGACAGTTGAACTTTTAAAAAAATATCTAGATTAAATATCCAGAAATCAGCTCTATATTTTAACTAATAAATCTCGATCAGATTTAATTTCCTTTGAATGTTAATAATATGTATGTAAATATATATTTTGTCTTGTTAAAGGCACCATAAAACGCAAGCCATCAATGAAACCAAGCCTCCCTCTAACCAACATAACTCGGCAACTAAAAGAAGTGGGAGAAACTCGAGACGAAATTGACGGAACCGCTCTTCCATCCAGTCCCATAATCTACACGAACTCCGGTACATTAACGAGAGGACACAGCAGACGGAAATCGAACCAATCTGACGATTCTTCGAATAATGGGACTCTCAAAAGGCAGCATTCGTACAAATCTAGAGGATCCGTTGAATCGATGGGCAGCAGAAGTGGAAATTCGACTCCACTGTGTGGAACGCCTGTTAGAGATAGAGTTTCGCCGTTTTCTGATAGAAACGGGTCGCATGTGGATTATTCGCCGAGCAATGGATACTTAAGAGGATCTATATCGCCTACAAGTAGTATGCCGTCGTGTATGGTAAGTTTAAATTTTCAGTTATACAGTATGTCCCCTTAAGTTGGAATCATATAGAAAACTTTTTTGTCCACGACTGTTCTATAAAACCTACCTACCTATTATTCACTAGTGAATAATGACCCATTAGTCACGGTATGACGTCACGACAGCACGTATGTCTAAACTGATATGAAAATATTCTTTATAGGTAATCGAAAAATCGAAAAAAAATCGAAAAATCGAAAAAAATCTAAAAATCGAAACAAAATCGAAAAATGAAAAAAAATCGAAAAATCGAAAAAAAAATCGAAAAATCGAAAAAAATCGAAAAATCGATAAAAACGAAAAATCGAAAATCGAGAAATCGAAAAAGAATAATACAGTGAATAATGATCCATTAGTCACGGTATGACGTCACGACAGCACGTATGTCTAAACTGATATGAAAATATTCTTTATAGGTAATCGAAAAATCGAAAAAAAATCGAAAAAAAATCGAAAAAAAATCGAAAAAAAAATCGAAAAAAAATCGAAAAATCCGAAAAAAAAAATCGAAAAAAAAAATCGAAAAATCGAAAAATTGAAAAAAAAATCGAAAAATCGAAAAAAATCGACAAATCGATAAAAACGAAAAATCTAAAAATCGAAAAATCGAAAAAATAACAGTTACCTATATTTAATAAAAACTTTCTTTTGTGGATATCCTTGAATCGTTGTTTAGAGTATCTTGTCTAATTCGGTCTTTTGTAGTAGACTCCTCCTCTTCCTGAAGGTCTCTTCTGTCAGACCGATATTATGCATATGTTTGTTAAGCCTACAGTGCCCTGTTAATAGACCTACTAGTACTCTAGTATTTTTCTTATTAAGGCTTAATAGATGCTCCTTTCAAGAACTGTTTGGCCTGTCTCTGTCCTTGAGAGTTTTTCCATCACTCCTAAGATTTTTTAAACATTAACTGCTTTGTGCATGTTCTGATAGTTGTTTTTGTTACATCACAGAAGGGTTCTGGGCCAATAAGAGCAGTAAATCAGCCTCTTCATTGCCCTTATGTCCTCTGTGATCTGGAACCCAGGCTAAGGTTAGTCTGTTTTGACTACCCAGTTTTTAAGAAAAGGGATTTTTTTTCCTGAAAAATCACTTAAATCCGTCAACTCTTCCTTTAAGTTAACATGCTTAATTTCATATATACATAAACACCCACATAGATGCACATACATCAGAGCATCAAACTCTTTAAACATATGTTTTTTTTTGTACTTAGGAGACTCTCCCGGAAAATTGCATTTCATTTTCAAAATCTCTCGGCTTCAGGAATGTACCTAAAATCTCCCGGATCTTTAAACTATGAATAATGAAATTAAGTGGGTTGAATTAAAAGAGTTCTTCTCTCAACATGTCTATAAATGCATGAGGATAAACTGTATGATAATAATTAAAGTAGAAGTACATGAAGTTATTGCGAGCAAATAAATAACCAAAGTAGGCGCGTTTGAGTTAATTTTTTTGAAATATGTGTGAATGAATGAGGCAAAGAAATAAAAATTTAATTAATTCTCTATATCTATGCCGAGCGTGTTTATTAAACTTGTCAAAAAGTCATAATCGTCTTAATGCAACTCATGTCAACTCTGAAATAAAAGTGTGCATAAATTTAAATTCCTAAGGAAAAATTTTTTATGATTATATCATAGAGATTATATCGGTAATGAAAAAGTATTTCCAGCTGCTTGCGGTATAAAAAATACAACTTTACAAAAAAAATATCCGGTCAAAAATATTGTAAAATTTCATACTTAAGAATAATCTTTAGTTATTGCAATTATTTGTTACACTTCACTATTTTTTGTTTCTTTTCTCCCGGATTTCTGATTCACAGAGTTGGCAACCCTACTGACATGCTGGCTAGATTATTATTCAGAAATGGACAGGTTGATAACGATTTTGATGATTTCGCCCCCTTTTCGTCTCTTGGGTGTTTTTATAGATATAAATATTTTTACGGATTTAAATCATTTGAAAAGATGTAAATCGTTTTAAAAATACTTAAATCTGTAAAAAAATTTAAATCTTTAAGAAAATTTAAATCATTTTAAAAAGATCGCATCATTTTACAGATTTAAATCATTTCAGAAAGATTTAAATCAATAAAAATATTTATTTAAATAGTTTTAAAAAGATTTAAATCTAATTTTTAAATAAAAAATCAAAGATACTTTTCAGAAAGATTTAAATCATAATTCAAAAATCATTTAATATCAAAGTATTTAAATCAAAAAATGATTTAAATCTCACTGATAGGTGACAGCTCTGCTCATAACACAAAACAAAATAATACAATATAATAAAGTGACGCCTCTTATCTTGGATTTGTTGAAACAAGAAAACACAGAAATAACATGTATAGATTTCTAAATTTGTTTAAGTATGGGCTCTCAAGTTTAGATGGAACCACTCATAAAATTTCGATATTTTAAAAAGTAATAGATTTTTTCTCTTTTCTTAAAAGTCGTAATAACGTACTAGTGTACTGACCCCACTGTAGGAAGACTCCACCTCGTCGTCCTCTACTAAGGTTTCTTCCTCTGAAGAGAACTCTTTGGTGTCCTCTTTCCTGCTGCAGGACGACTCCAATCCGTCATCCTCTGCCAAGGTTTCTTCCTCTGTAGAGGACTCTTAGGTTTCCTCTTCTTTACTTGTGCCTAGGTTTTTCACCTTTTCGGCGGATTCTTGGTCATGTTCTCCTTTGACTCTGAATTTAAGTTTCCCTAGGTCATAGTAGGGGAGACATGTCAAGCTTTTTTAGTTCCTTTAGGGATTCAGGGTCCATCGAAAAAGCTCACGTTTGACCTTCTGCCGATGGAGTTTTACCCCACACCGTAACGGATGTCCCAAAAGTTTTGGGAAAAAAATTAAAGACAAAAAAAATATTTAAAACATTTATTTATCCCTCATAATACTACGTATAAAGTGGTTCCTTAACAATAAATAAAAACTACTACGGCACCACTAGGGGTCCATTTTCTTCGATATGGCGCAGTTTTGTCCTGACGCATCTCATTAGGGTTTGGCACTCTTCAACATCAAACTCCCTAATTTTTTTGGAATAGCCTACGCCGCAGCCGCTGCCCGTTTTGAGCTTCCCAGCCATTTTCATAAACTTTGCTTGACAATATCGCCCAAAATGTCTCTATTGGTCTTGATTGGGGAACGTTCGGGGGTTGTCCTGCTTAGGCACAAATGGCACATTTTGAGCTTCTAACCATTCACATGTGGCTCTAGCATAATGAGCCGACGCCAAGTCCGGCCAAAACATGATATTGTCGTTGGCATGATGTTATTTAATAAAATTTACCAATTTCGGAAGACAATTTTGAATGTAAGTATTTTGATCCATTGTAGGGCCTCTAACACGTCCTACATAGGGCCTGGACAAACCATTTTCCGATAATGCAATCCAGACTAACAGTTTCTCCGCAAACTTGGCCTTTGGTTTGTATTTTATATTTTCGGGGGTATTTTCAATGTTATCTTTATAAAAACCTGAGTTTTCTGGTAGGTCGGCATGCGAAAATGTAAAATATTTTTCGTCATTCAGTATAATCTTTCTGTTGTTTATAAAATGACGAAGATGTAACAAGCGGCAACAATAAGGAATCCTTGGAAGTTGGGCCTCGTTATACTTTGGACATTTTGTCCGTTTTCTATAATTTAAGCCTTTTTCGCAATATATCTAGAAACTGTCGATTTTGATACCTGAAATCGTTGGGAAAGCTTTTGAGTTGACACTCCAATGGTATCCTTTGCAAGTTCGACCATCTTGTTCACCCTGACATCGGTAAGCGTTGCCGGTCTGCTACTTTGCGGCAAGTTGAGACAAGGTATTACTTGTTCGCATTCTTGAATTGTTCGGTAAATGGTTGTTTTAGATATATTTTGATTCTGGAAAATATTAACGATATCTTTTTTTGGCATTCTGCCAACAAAGTTATAAATAGATTAGCGAATCTCAATTTTGTGCGCCATTATGCCTACAGACAGATAGCAACTAGGCTGTCAACTAAGTAAACAAAACCCAGGGCAACGTTTATTACCATGGCTAACTAGATAAATTTGATTTAATACTCCGCAGAGCACAGATAAACTTTTTCCCAAAACTTTTGGGACACCCGTTACAAAAGTGTGTATTTAGCCCATGGTTGGCTATTTTTAGTCTTTTGAGGATTTTATCCCCTTCGGGCCTTTGTCCTCTTTTGTTGGGGACGAATGCTGTGCAGGCTAGTGGCCTAGGGATATCGTTACCCTGTAACTCTTTCAGGGTTGCCCCTTCCCAAGGTTGGATGGTTGTGACGATGTTCTGTAACTTGTCTACATTGGTTCGGTCCGCGCAAGTTACCACCAGGTAACCTGGCTTATGGCTGTACTTGGCGAACCTTACCTGTGTTCCCTCTGTGGGGATTTTGTCGTGGGCCTCGGAGATCGAGTTTTGGACTTTTCCTAGTCTCGCTAGACTCATCTTGATCTCCGAGTAGCCTATTTCTACCACTGCAACCTTTACTCAGGTAAGGGCCTCTTTGAACGAAACTTCGTCCGTTCTGGCCTTCTTACTCAGTCGGCTGACCTGTGACGGTGTTGCGTCTGTCGACTTTGGGCGTTTTTGAACCTTTGTGTCTGGCTTGGTAGCTTCTTTCGCCTTGTCTTGACGCTCTAGCCTCTGGGGATTTGTTTGGACCGTTTGAAAATTTTCCTTCATCACCTGCTTTTTTGCGGCTGTGTAATCAAGGCTAGTTTTCAAGAGCTCCTTTAGCCTCGTTCTCGAGTGTTCACCTAGACGGGCAGAATGTACCTCGTCCTCAGGCATTTGGTCTACCTCTTCCAGGGAGAAGACGATGACTTTACGCCTCTGCTAGCTTTTCAGCCTTCGCTAGAGACGTTGCCTTCGTCGTATCCCCTTTCGAGTTTGACGCTGTTGACTTTTATTGCATTTCTCTGTTATTTTGTTTGTTGTTTTAAGAATTCATATATGATCCCACGAGTAGCTGGGGAAACACAGTCCGCTACGGCAGAGCCCCGCATGCCGCAATAAGGTCGTGATACTCTGGGAGATGACCTGGTATCCAAGAGGCTCCGTTTTCAATACCTTGACCCAGGTATCATTCAGTCTTCGGCATGGGTCGCGTTACGCCATAACTTGGGGAGTTGGTTCGCGGCGACAGTTTTCGCAAAAGATTTTGGGGGTTTTTAAGTCCACTCACCCTACTTATAGCTACCACTAGCCAGATACTCTGACTGTCCTCCTATCCACCACCCGGAGACGTGCCCGGTAGGCTCTCAACCCTCGGGAATGCTTAACTAACTGAAGTATCGAGACAAGACGAGAAAGGTATCTGATCAAATATGTCAATTGCAAACCTCAACAAAAAAAATAATAAATTTGAAGGCGTCAGACAGCTCCTCAGCAGTGGCCAGCCATCTGACGATTTACATACTTCATCTGCGACTTTCAACGAAGTGATAATACATTTTTAGCAAAAAGTACAAACGTGATATATTTCACAACTTTTCTGGCGTTTCATTTGCAGAAGTTTTAAACAAAATCCTTACAGATTACATTTCCTGATGGCCTCACCAACAACATCACAAAAGTCCAGCTGGAAGTACGCTTGTTTTCAGTCTATTAGTACATGAGCTATGCAGAGCTTTATCTAATAGAAATTGCGCAAAATTTAGTTGTTTAGACCTGCAATAATCTTTTACTAGGCGAATTTGTAATGTATTCTACAAATCCCTTTAAGGAATCCTATATAAGTGTCGCTTTTTCAATTTAATTTTTTTTTCAGACCGATTCAATCACATCTTTACCACCACCGCCAGAAACAAACGACGACGTAATTTTAAGCAATTCACCAAATTATTCACTTCCACCTCCACCTCCGGAAGTATACAATTCGAATCTTTCGCTCGATAGTCTCCCCCCTCCGCCAAGTTTAAGCGATCTACCTCCACTAACAGGCGCGGAACTGACCGGTAGTCAGTTGTCACTTATGTCATTACCACCACTTCCATCAGAGACGGTTTTAGATATATCTAGAAACCGAAATGTTAATATTTTGAGTCCTGATAGAACTCCAACTCAGGGTATGTCTCCTGATTTAACTCCTACACATTCGAGGTTGAACACTCCTGTATGTAGTCCACCTCTTTCCAATGCCGGAAGCGGTAGTAGCACACCGATTCAAGGTAGTGCTCCTGTTAATTTCAATACGCCACATAGATCTCTGTATCCTCAAAGTAGCCCAATATATTCTCCTCAAGAGCAGCCTTCTTACATCAGTCCGCAGTACAGACAATCCTGTACTTTACCTAATAGTAATAACGGTTTCAATAATAGTATAGGACTACGTTCATCATTGAGACAAGCCTCGCTACCCAGACAAATATCATCTAACAGCATAGCTTCGACGAATAGCTCCAATTCTTCCGGACACACTTGTTACAATAACCAAAACTCCCCTAGCATTCAGCGTAAAGTTAATTTTCAAGAACCGATGAGCCCCAAAAAGACTGGTAAGAAAATTAGTTTTAATCTCGCACCCCAAGAAGTACCTCCACTGCCCAAGAAGCCGGCACCGCCGAAGAGATCTGAGAGTACGAAGTTAACGAGTCCGAAGAAGTTGGTCGAACCTCCGGTGGAGTTTCTGAAAGATTTGCAGCGAGTGATGAGGAAAAAATGGCAGGTGAGAAGGAATTTAGTTTAAAATATATAAATATTGTTCTGAAATCTCAATTATTGATCTAAAAATAGTCATAGATCGGAAGAAGACTCAAAGTTTTTGTATTTTACTCAAAAACGATGCGCTTTCATAAAAAAATTTACTAGAGTTTTTTTTGAAGAACAAACGATTTTCTATCAATTATGTACTCATAAATTGTTGCTAAATTTCTTATTTTTCCCACTAGAGCGTGCATAAAAAACAAATGTAATATTTTGTGTTTTTCGCGTTTTGTATAAAAACTACGCGATTTGGCGGGAAAATTTCAGTAGAGCAAATTTGTAGAGCAAAAAATTTCCTATCGAATCCATGAAACATATTTTCCGAAATTTACTATTTTTGATTAATTAGCAGGTTTAATAAATCTCAAAATATATGTTTATTATCATCGAGCTCGCGACGGGAAAAAATAAAGGTGATGATGTGTCGATAGTCAAAAGTGTTCTCAACGTTTGTTTTGTAGAATCGAGTGTTTTTATGATGTTTTGCGTACGTTCTTTGCAGAATAAAGATAGAATATTGCAATTTGCAGTTGTGGATGTGTTTTAACCGTCTATTGTTTACTATAGTTATGTTAAAGCGACTGAAACATATTTATGAGTGTGAATCCTTAAATGACTGGTAATTTTCTATGAAGGAGATATATATAATAATTTAGGCGCGTAAATAAAAAACAAATTTATACAAATATATTTTTTCCTAAAATTAAAAAAACCGTTAAATTGTCTTTACTGTTGCTATGGGCCAGACCCAGCTTCCAATTTTGTGATACAATATTGTGCTGTAGTTAATTAAATTTTGTATTTGTTTGAAACTACCCGTCTTGGTTTTATCGAGCTATTAATGAAATAAAATTAAAAAGTATTTAAAATACTGAAAAGGACAAATTCAGGAATATTTGGTGTACAATTTAAAAATATATGCAAATCTAGTAAGCCAAAAAACATATTGTATCACCCCTGTAAATGTTTAGAGGATGAACTAAAGACATACATTTTCTACACACATCTTACTCAATACTAAAAAATTACAATTTTATACTTTTCTTCAAATTTTTACAATATGGTCAATTTTAGAGAAATACTGTATAGAACAAAAATTATAGAGAATGATACCGCAAACAACTTCTATTTGAAGAATTTTCTTCTCAAATCTTAACCAACAAAGATATTTCTTAAAGTATTAAATACCTCAACAGATGCTTCGACTATGTCCAAAATTTAATCAGCTCATTGCAGGATGGATTAAAACTTAGTTTTACAATTTGGTATTTTTCTCTTTTTCCGTATTTGAGTTATCTCCAAGATCCGAAATTTGCACTTTTCCTCAAATATTTCCAATACGGTCCATTTTAGGAATATTATGTATAGTCATAAAAGAGACCAGAGATATAACATACACCGGTGTTTAACCTGCGCAAATGTTGCCAATTTTTAAAGAAAGGTTAACGGAGTGGGGGAACTTGGCAGGGACCCGAACTCTGTGACAGGGACTGGACTTTGTTTATTCGCAGCATAATGAACTATTCGATTTATTTAAAATATACGTTTAATGGAATTTTATATTATGAAATAATTTTAACGTGATTTTTTAATATCAAACAGATGCCACGACATTTTTTGTAAAGAGAAGACCTTTTATAGAATATTTCGTTAGCTATTATTTACTACGGACTTTTCTGTAAGAGACTATAGTAAAATGTTGAAATAGAATATTGTTAATCGAGTAAGAAATGGTACTCATTGTCTAAGAGTATTATAAAAAAAAGCATGTGCGCAGGCGAATAAATCAAACATTATATTAAGTTAAACATTATATTTTTTCTACGACTATCACATAATATTAAAAATTAGTCAAAATGAGAAAATGATGTTTTGTATTATGACCTCAGAAAAAGATATATTAAAGCTTGTTTCTTTAGGAATATTAATTAATATAGAGGATGAGTCACATAAAACTCTAGAAATGCATATGTCTGAAACCAGTTAACATTTTAAAATTTAAACCTATTAAAAGTCATTTGGTCGCTAGGGGTGGGTGATTATCGAAATAAATTATTGATCATTAATAATAATCGATTATTTTCGATCAATCGATTATTTTCAAACAACATTTTTGTTCGTATTTCCTTTAAAATCGACTATTTGATTATCTTTGAAAAATCAAAAGTAATAGATTAATTAAAAAGCCAATTAACCGATAATTCAGTGTTTAAAAAAAATAATAATTATCGTTTATTTTAAATAATCGATTATTTTTAAATAATAATTTTTTTTTTCGTATTTCCATTGAAACAGATTATTTGATAATCTTTGAGAAATCTAAAATAATCGATTAATCAAGAAATAATCGATTAATTAAAAAGTCGAATATTCCATAAATCGATTTAAAAAAAAGAATTATTTCCTTTAAAATCAATTATTCGATCATTTTTGAAACATCGAAAATAATCGCTTAATCGAAAATAATCGATTAAGGGAAAATAACCAATTAATTAAGAAGCCGATTCTATGATAAATCGATTTTCCAAAAAAAAATAACTGAATTATTGATTATTTAAAAATAATCCTTTTCTTTTTTCATATTCCTTTTAAAATTGATTATTTAATTTTCTTTGAAAAATCGAAAATAATCGATTAATAAAAAGCTGATTGACCGATAAATCGATAATTCTAAACAAAAATAACGGAAATATCGATTATATAATATAACCGATTATATTCGATCAATCGATTGTTTTTATATAATCTATTTTTTTGTATTTTAAAACAAATTATTCGAATACCTTCGAAAAATCGAAAATAATCGATTAATCGAAAATATTCGGTAAATCGAAAATAATCGATTAATTTAAAAAGTCGATTTTTCTAAAAAATCGATTATTTTCAATAAATCGAATATTTTGAATAAATCTACTCTTTTTGTAATTCCTTTATAATCGATTATTCCATTACCTAAAAAACGAAAACAATTTATTGAAAATGTTCGATTAATCAAAAATAATCGATTAATTATAACGGATAAATCGATTTTCATGAAAACGATAAATGGATTATTTTTGTAACCCCTATCGGTCGCATGTTTTTATCCGAGCATTTAGCTCCAAAATTTAGAGATTCGGATTTATTTATCCAGTTATCTTTAAAACCGCATTCGATTGTATAATAAATATTGCTAGAATTTAGATTTTTTTAGTAAACGAAGATTTTTTTTCGGGGTTTATAATGTAATATTTTACTAATAATATGACTAATTTTCGTAACTTGACTATTTTTTTGCTTATACTAGATCACATTGCGCGTTTTACTTTGTTTTAAGACTTAAGATTCAAATGTCACTTCCGATTTTAACCGCAAATAAAATGAACCTTGAAATTTTAAGTAGGTGAACCTGTATTTCATCTAATATTCTTGTAAAAATACCTAATAAAGGGCTAAAAACCACCTTTAGTAAATATTTAAAAAAAAAAATACTTTTTAAAAACAAAATTTCGTTAGTAACAATGTCTATTTACTTCTTATTTGATTAAATGTTTAAAATTTTACTCTTTTGTAAATTAATGCATTATGAAATCTATTTTCTGAAATATTATGTATTTGATGCGTAATATTTATTGAAACCCCTTAATGCGGATCTGAAGTATTTAGCTCAAAGAATCATGGCGACTTTATGTCAAAACGTCAACAAATATTTACTTCTTGTCGGGTCTTTAATGTTGAGGTTCAATTTTGTTTGTAGGTTAATTAAAAAAAGATAGGTAGAGATAAAGACAAATTTCTCCCTCTTCTCGATCCTTCTGCTCTGAAAACATCGAGCTCGCTCTATGTTCTCGCTCCAAAGCAAAACAAACACTTTAGGGATCTCTCGAAGTGTCAATTCAAACACGTTTGTAGCGCTCGGAGATCTCCGATGATCAAATCAAACGCACCATTTGTCGTCCTCCACTGATGGCCACCAAACATAAAATCTCGCCAGTGCAGATATACCGGGATGTCCCCTGTGGAGGTATTTCAGTGTTTCCTTACGTAGTGTTTTCGGAATAACAATCCTTCCTTGCTACATGATTATTTTCTTTTCTGCCGACAGCTCGATGCGTTTTCTAAAGTAAAATTTGAGTTCACTTTTTTGGTGGTATTGTGAGCCATTCCAGTTTGTTTTACTTTTTTCAGAATCGAGTCATTAGTTGAATGTTCTCTAATAAGGCTTTCTGTTAGTTTAGATCATCAAACTTGTTTGACTGCTATATGTTAGTGATTTTTTTTATAGTGGTTTCTTCTTTCGACATTTTCTCCTCTGGATTTGGTAATCTAGAGAGAAAGTCGGCCAGGTTATTATTTTCGCTCTTTTTAAAAACAATGTCATAGTCGTAACACCCGATTAATAACGCCCATCTTACAAGGCGATTGTTCACCAATTTAGGTAAGTTGAGGTTAACGCTCAGTAGGTGGGTCAAGGGTTTATGGTCAGTTACTAAGGTGAAATGTATGCCTCTAAGGTATTGATAAAAAAAATTTACACCAGAAAATATTGCCAATATCAATAACAGAGTACTGGCTTTCTGCTTGTTTTAATTTTCTCAAAGCAAAAGCTATAGGCTGTTCTTGATTTCGAATCACGTGGTATAAAACGGCACCTACGCCTTTCCAATTAATGTTATGAATTAAAAAGGCTTTATTAACAGAAGTTACATTCAAAACTGATTACAATATAATAATGTCAAAACTAAAATTTAAATGTTCAATGGAACTAAAATCCTAGGTTTTAGTTCTACATTTTCGTTTCATGCTTTGGTATCTATCTAGGTTATGAGGTTACAACATTCTAGTCTTTATAATTACTTCCTATGCATTCATGAAATGATAAATTAGATTCATTTTGTAAACTGTGTCTGCGAGCCGAAAAAGTATTGAATTTATTATAAACTGAATTGTGTTATTAATTTTCCAGGTGGCGCAAAAGTGCAAGCTAGAACCCGAAACCACCCCTCACGAAGTGCTTGGTTTTCGAGACGCTCCGGTTCTATTACCGGACTACAAAGAACACAACGTTTCCAACTGGGTGCAGGAACACTACGGACCCAATAATCTCTACGAAAACATATACAGAGACAACCCTGAGGCAGTTATCGATTACGCTACAAGCCCGGTACATTCCAGGAATGAAGTCAGGGCTTCAGTGGAATTCAGATCGAAGAGACCCCCGCCTCCACCGCCGAAACGTAGTGAATCCACGCATTTAAGTACCCCCAAGACTTACTGATGCTGTGTTTGTTAGTAGCGTGGTAAATAATCTCGAATTTTACCCATTTACAACAATTAAACTACTGCCAGCTAAAGTCTGTTAAAGGGATGTGATTTTAAATTAATTGTGCCATTTTCTTGTGTATCAAGAACTTCTTACTTAGTTATTATTAATCTTAGATGCTAAATTGAAAAGGTAATCATTTTGTATATATCTAAAATTCTAGTTAAATTATTTATAAATAAGAAATGTCAAACATTGATGGTGCTTACAATATATCCATCATACTAATATGAAAATTTTAAGAAACAAAAAGTTTTTTTTTATATTGTTAACAAATTATTATTAAGTTTATTTTTTACTTTGTTTTCTTTATGGAAGTTATTTTTAATTTAAACTGAATGTATATAATCGATTTCAAAACTTTTGTTATTTTATAACTTTCTAATTCGTATTGGTTGTTCCCACCTCTAATTTGTTTAATTCGATGTTTACAGAGATATAAAATATTTTGCGGATTAGAGGTGGGAACAACTAATACGAATTGGAAAGTTATAAAATAACAAAACTTTTTAAATTTTTCCCGTTACATATTAATTTTGTTTCTGATTATTTTCTTACGGTTTTTGTAAAAGTCTGATGGATTCTAGTTAAACGTTTCAACGGATGTAGTAAATTTTGTGTGTTTTTATAAATTTTATAACAATTTTTACCTAAATTAGTTTAAAAATATTTATACAATGATACTAAAGTTACAGGGTTAAAAAAATGTCAGTTATTTATTTTGTTTGTTTAATTTTCTCTTTTTGTTTATATCATTGGTTGTATATATGTGAGTTTATCAAAGTTTTGTGTAGGTCTTGCTTTTTTTTTTTTCAATTTAATGGGGTACTTACTGAATTGTTTTTGTGAAAAAACTGAATTGACTTCGATAACTAAAAATCCATGAAGGATGGAATTATTTTTTTTTTCTTAAAATTAAAATTACTTTTTCAAGTTACAGGGTGTTAAAGTTGAAAATTGCCAGGTTTTTAAAATAAACGATTTATCGAAAAAAAAAAAAAGACTAATCGAATAAAATCGTCATCTAAATGAATCGACTATATTGGAATAATCGATATTTTTATTGAAAAAAGCGAATAATCAAGAATCGATTAATTAAAAATAATCGATTATTCGTAAATTATCGATTAATTGAAAACAAAAATTTATTCGAAAATCGATTTATTGAAAATATCGTTTAATAGAAAAGAAGCGATTGATCAAAAAAATTTGATTAATCTAAAATAATCGATCAATTAAAAAGAATCGATTTATCTAAAATAAAAAAATAATCGTTTCATCAAAAAAATAATTGATTATCGAAAATATTCGATTAATCAAAAAATCGATCAATCGAAAAGAATCAATTCATCAAAAATGGACAATTATCGATTGTAAATAATCGAATATTCTAAAAAAATCAATTCAGTGAAATGAATCGATGTATCGATAAGAAACGATTAATCGGGAAGAACTGATTTATTGAAAAGAATCGGTTCATTGAAAAGAATCGATTAATAAAGAAAAATCAAATAATCAAAAAAGAACCGTTTAATAAAAAAAATCGTAAATAATCGATTAATACAAAAAAATCGATTATTTGAACATTTATCGAAAAAAATCGTTGAATTGAGTAAATTGATAAATCGAACAGAATCGATCATCAAAATTTCGATTTTTCATAGAAAAAATTAAATCTAAAAATTGAGTAACCAAAAAAAATCGATTATTTCTAAATGATTGATTATTCATTATTAATCGATAATTCGTTAATAATCGAATATTTGAAAAAAATTGAATAGTCGAAAAAAATTTATTCATCCAAAAGAATCGATTCATCGAAAAGAACCGTTTAATAAAAAAAATCCAAAATAGATTTAGAAAATAATCGATTAATAAAAGAAACAATCGATTATTTTGCACATTTATCGAAAAAATCGTTGAATTGAATACATTGATAAATCGAAAAGAATCGATTATAGAAAATAATCGATTTTAGAAAATAATCGAAAAAATAGAATAATCAAAAAGAATTGATTCATCAAAAAGAATCGATTAATCGAAAAACTCAATCGATAAAAATCAATTCATTAAGAAGAATATAATCGATAAATGATCGATTATTTGTAAATGATCGATTATTCGAAAATAATCAATTAATCGAAAACAAAAAATCTATTCGAAAATCGCTTTATCAAAAAAATCGTTTAATAGAAAAGAATCGATTGATCATAAAGATTTGATTAATCTAAAATAATCGATCAATTGAAAAGAATCGATTCATCAAAACGATTCAATTATCAAAAATAATCGATTTATCTAAAATAATCGATTAATCGAACAAATGGATCATTCGAAAAGAATCAATTCATGGAAAATAATCAATTATCGAATGTAAATAATCGAATATTCTAAAAGAATCGATTCATCGAAAAGAATCGATTAATAAAAAAATTGATTAATTGAGAAGAACCCTTTAATAAAAAAAATCGAAAAGAATAGAATTCGAAAATAATCGATTATTAGAAAAAAACAATCGAATATTTGAAATTTATCGAAAAAAATCGTTGATAAATCGAAAGGAATTGATTATCGAAAATATAATTAAAAATAATCGATTATTTCTAAATAATTGATTATTCACTATTAATCGATAATTAGTTAATAATCGAATATTCGAAGAAAATCAGATAGTCGAAAAGAATTGATTCATCAAAGAGAATCGATTAATCGAAAAGAATCAAATCATCAAAAAGAATCGATAATCGGAAATAATAGATTATTCGTAAATGATCGATTATTCGTAAATAATCGATTAATCGAAAACAAAAAATTATTCAAAAATCGATTTATCGAAAAAATTTGATTAATCTAAAATAATCGAACAATCAAAAAGAACCGATTCATCAAAACGAATCGGCCATCAAAAAAATCGATTCAACAAAAAATCGATTAATCGAACAGATCATTCGAAAAGAACGATTCATCTAAAAATAATCGATTATCGAACATAATCGATTAATCAAAAAAAATCGGTCAATCGAAAAAAATCAATACATCAAAAATAATTATCGAAATAATCAAATATTCTAAAAAAATCAATTCAACAAAGAATCGATATATCGATAAGAATCGATTCATCGGAAAAATCGATTTATTGAAAAGAATCCATTCATCGAAAAGAATCGATTAATCGAAAAGAACCGTTTAATAAAAAAAAATCGACAATTCGATAATAATCGAATATGTGAAGAAAATCGGATAGTCGAAAAGAATTGATTCATCAAAAGAATCGATTCATCGAAAATAATCGATTAATCGAAAAACTTAATTGAAAAGGACCAATTTATCAAAAAGAATCAATTATCGGAAATAATCGATTATTCGTAAATGATTGATTATCAAAAACAAAATATCTATTCGAAAATTTATTTATCAAAACGAATAGATCATTCGAAAAGAATCGATTCATCTAAAAATAATCGTTTCATCAAAAAATAATCGATTATCGAAAATAATTGATTAATTAAAAATCGATCTATGGAAAAGAATCAATTCATCAAAAATAATCAATTTTCGAACGTAAATAATCGAAAATTCTAAAACAATTGATTTATCGAAAAGAATCGATATATCGAGAAGAATCGATTCATCGATATATCGAGAAGAATCGATTCATCGAAAAAATTGAATAATAAAAAAGAATCGATTAATCGAAAAGAACCGATTAATCAAAAAATCGAAAAGAACATTTTTCGAAAATAATCGATTAATCGAAGAAACAATCGATTATTTGAACATTTATCGAAAAATCGATGAATCGAAAAAATTGATGAATCGAAAATATTCGATTATTCGATTGACCGAAAATAATGGATTATCTAAAATAATGGAATATAATCGATTAATCGAAAAAAATCGAGCAGTCGAAAAGAATCAATTTATCGAAAATAATCGATTATTCGTAAATGATCGATTGTTCGTAATTAATCGATTATTCTAAAATAATCGATTAATCAAAATTCTAAAAAAATGGCCAATTTTCAACTTCAACCCACCGTATCTCAAAAACTATTCATAGTTCGACTTTGGTCCCCATTGACACTTTTGGTTATTAGGTTGAATAGAACATACCAAAGTTTCAGAAAATTTGACATGTCCCATAATCCTTTAGACACAATTTCAGAAGAAACAACAAAATGTTCTCGAAACATTCTTTTGTGTTATTACCCTTAAAAATTCAATTATTTTTACAAAATAAATAGTTCATTTCAAAGAAGGGAAAATGGATTTGGAGCTTGAGGTAAGAGATGTTAATTCATAAAAATATCTTCCTAGAACATTATAGATATCAAAATAATGTTTAGTTCATATATTCAATTGTGCAAGTACCCTGTAATAAAATATAATTTTCTATATCGTAGAATAAGAAAATACCCATTTTTTTTATAAAATAAGAGCAAGATAGTCTTTAAGAATGATTAGTTATATTGTGTGTAAAAAATGTTATTGTATTATCAAACCATAATTGGCGGTTTTTAAAAATATTTTAATTTGAGGAGGATAAGAAAATCAATCATTCTTAATTTTCGCAAAATTATGACAAAC